ACACACGTTATATCCCGTAAACTACAAAAACTTGAACAGTCATAATTGGAAGTGAGAATCGCAACACCCGATAGTACTCTGACAGCCCCCAAACAGAGTGTTGCGAATTTCAAAACTTGACAAACGTTTTCAAATTTAAGATTTCTGAAAGTTTTTTTTTTAAAAATTCACAAAAAACGTCATATCTGGAAAACTGAGAGCATTTAAGCAGTTGAATTCGGACGGAAGATTTATATTTCGAAAGTCCCGAGAGTACCCTTACAGTACCTAACTACAACATTAAGAATTTCAATTCTTTTGAATTTTTTAAAATCTAAGTTTTCTGAAAAATTAAAAAGAAATCCTAAAACACGTCATATCTCGAAAACTACAAGGAACTGAGCAGTATTGGAGGCAATATACGCAATCTTTGAGAGTACTCTGACAGCACCCATCTACAGGGTTGGAAATTTCAAGTTTTTGTAAATTATTTTATAAATTGAGTTTTCTGAAAATCACAAGAATCTTCTTATGTAATTGAAACGTAATTGAAACCCTTTTGGCAATGATCCGGATTTTTAAAAAAATTGTGTATCAAGAAAAACTGATCAGATTTTTTGGCTATTCAAAAGCAAATTTAGCTAAGACAAGAAAATTTCATTTTGAGAAGTCTTGATTTGAAAGAAAGTGTATTCTCTGATTTTAAGCAACCAAGTGGTTCATTGATATACATTTCAAAGCATATTATAAACTAAGGGTCAATCATTTTACAAATAGAAAACTCAAAAATCGTTTTCGTTTGTTTAAACTTAAATTTTTGCAATATTTACCTTCTGTGCATTTTTCTATAGCAACCGGTAATCGTTGTTTCAATTTTAACCCACAATAATTCTTAATCGGTAGTGGCTATAGTCTTGATCAATTGTCCAAAAAAAAACATAATTATTGTTCTAAATAGTTTGCTTTTTATTTTAAAAGTTAGTAACTGTTTTTTGTCCAACAACTCTCGAATAGTGGGACAAATCTATGGGGCCCTCAGTAACTCAAGGTACCTCAAAGAAAGCCAACATGGGTACGTTTGTAGAGTTGCATTGTTAATAACACCCGTTTTTTTACTCCGTTACTAACACTGTTAGTTACAAACCGACTCATTTCAGATAAAGCAGGGTGAAACATAGCGTTTTATACGATGAGATTCGTCCGCTCGGACCTGAGAAACGGCGTTGACTCGAAACGCCTTCGTGAACTGAAATCTGACTGAATATAATTCATTGTTTGGTACACTGCTCAAAGTTTACAAATTTTACTGTTATTCACAGCTAATAACGTTAAAAAGTCATTTAATATGGTAGAGTGTTATTAATGCAACCCTGAGTAAGTATCAAATCCAGCCCCTTTTAATCAAAATATTTAAACATTGATGTCAGAAGAAAACGTGATTTTAAAATATTACGACAACACTCTATTCATTGCTTTATTGTGCCTGAGAGATGATTGAAAACACAAACAAAAAATTTCAAAAAATGCATCCTAAAATCTTTAATAAACAATTTATTTTTTCCAAAAAACAAGCAAAACTTCTAATTGATTCACACAACTAATCAGAATTCCAATAAACTGCGTGCTTAGAAGAAAACGTTAAAACGATTTTAAGTTATGTTGAGAATTGCTTCAATCGCCAGAAAAGTCCACGCTGTAGCAACTAAGCCGCCAAAAAAAGACGATATGCCGCCGATCATTATTTCAAGCTGGAACACAGAGGCCAGGCTGCGCTTTGCAAGCACCAGCAAAACAACGACAAAAAGCAGCTCTATTAAGTGAAAACATACCTAAAAGATTTGTAAAAAAAGTCATGAACGCGTTGGAACAGAGTGAAAGGACATATAAAAACACTGAAATGTTTTTTTTTAACTTCAACTTCCGAATTCCAAAGAGAAAAAAAACATGTCCTTTAAGCTCTTTGAATTTCAAGAACAAATTAAGATTGGCACTTTTGATAGAGGTAGTCTAATTGGATCAATGGGCAAAGTTTTTATTCTGCTGAGAAATCTAAAACTAAATCATCTTTCAAACATAGAAACAATTCTAACTTTTTACGCCATTTGCGCTTCGTAATTGGAGAGCGCAATTAACCTAACTTTGAAGTTAAAAATTGCATACATACCTATGTGAACTCATAACTGTAATAATGTGTAAGAACGCATGTGTAATTATTACAGCATTTTCCTGAAGAAAAAAACAAAAAAACATAAGGCATATATAAGAGTATGTAGAAGAGTATTCATAACTTTTGCACCGTGTCAGATACGAAAATGCAACCTCGAGATTGCGAGTCTAACATCCTTCCCTCTCAGCTACGGACGCTTAACAATCAGCAAACACTAGTCACAACTAAAGCGTTCGAATCCGCTTCGGTCACGGCTGGAGGGGTCCCAGTGTCATCCACCTCCGCAAGGTGGGACCGGCTGCGGCTCCCCCACGGTTGGTCCTGCACTGAGCAGACCGGGGGCTAATCAAAAAAAATCAGAGGATGAAACTTTCAATAAAATGAAATTTTCGATGCTACAGATCGAGATAACAGCAAAAACGCCACCAAATGAGCACTTTTATTTGCGATTTAGGTTTACATATCTATGTGCACTCATAAATGTAATACTGTGCATGAATGCATGTGTAATTATTAGAGCATTTTCCTGAAAAACAAAACACCAAGACCTTTATAAGAAAATTCACTACGATCATAACTCTTAAAAAAGTATCAATAAACCTCAAAGTAGAAAACTTTTGCAACGTGTCAGATTCTATCATGCAACCTCGAGATTGAGAGTCTCGTCCTTCCCTCTCAGCCACTGACGCTTAACAATCAGCAAACACTAGCCACAACTAAAGCAGAGGATGAAATTTTCAAGAGTACGATCGAGATAACAGCAAAACTGCCACCAAATGAGTACTTATGAGCACTTTTACTTGCGATTTAGCTTGAAAAAAAAGAGTCATGCTAATACACAAAGCTTATTTGCAATTTAGGTTGCAAAAAGAGAGTCATACTAATACACTAAGCAGTGCCAGATGTGAACGTTAACTCCAGTCCAAATAAGGCAGAATGAGACGTTGATTTGTATTTACTACCAATCAATCCACCAAATGATTCGGTGATTCTGTAAATGAAATTTTTAACCCGAGAAAAGTTTCATCCAAGTTGATAACACTCCCGACAAAAACTGATGACGGCAGTGCATATTCACTCGTATCTGATCACTCGCAATCGGTTTATACTGCATTTGCTATAAAAGAAAACATACATTTTTGAACTTTTTCAAAAAAAAAATCAAATTTTTATAAGAGAAGACCCAATAATCAATCAATTCTGAAACAAACTAATGATTCGTAAGCGCATATTTGACCAAATCAAATCAACCAAGTAATCAGGTGTTAAAAACTTAGCTTTCAGATAAAACCATTATTTAAAAATTTCAAGACAAAGCTCCGTTCATGAATTTTCAAAAAAACTCAATTAGCTGCTTATTAGAAGATCACGTCAAAAATATATAAAATAAATGAGCGTTTCTTAAATCACTGGAAAAGCAACCCAGTGCCTGCTTAGATCAATTTGAAAACAAATCAAAAAGATCGCGTTCCAGGTATAAGCGGGAAACTGAAGGGTTCAATGCTTCTCGCTTGAAATTATGTACGGTCAAAAACTGTATGTATATAGGCTCAAAAATTTGATATCAATGGTTCGAGTTACCAGCAAAAAGACGTTTTATTTCCTTCGGAATGTTTTACGCTGTTGACTGATGAGCAATTTAACATAGCATTTAAGTTACGTTTTTTGAACATGACAACAATAAGACTACCTAGAAATGTGTTTAACACAGTGGAAAAGCTGGGCTTTGCAAACACGTGCGAGAACACGACCAAAAAGCAGTTCTATCAAGTGAAATAAGAAAAAGTAGAAATAAGCCTCTAATTAGCAAAAAATCGGCTACGTGTCGGATTCGAATCTGCGACCTAACAAAATTGACTCTAACGCACTTACCACTCAGCCACGGATGCCTGAAATTCCCAAAAACTAGCCACCAAAACCGCAGCTACATATACTAATAAAGTAGTACCAAATACAAAATGACACAATTTTGCATGTAATAAATAGCAAAGCATTAAGCCACATTACGTATAAATAAATAACGCATTTCAAACAATTGCGAGATATACTGATTTAGAAAACTTCTGATATCGAGTTTTTGTTATTAGTTATGTTGTTTGAAACAAATAGCTTTTTTCGGTTGAATTGATGAATTTAAACTTAATCTCAAGTCAAAGCGCATGCTATCAATAAGCTGTAAAGGTGCCCCAAAAGTGGCATCAATATTTGCTACTTAGGCTGGAAAAACAGAAATTTCGTACCAATACACTTTGCGTCGCAAGTGTAATGAAATATCAATTAGCTTAAGTATAAATAGATGTTTCGACAAAAATTGAACGAAAAAAAAAATTTAACAGAGGCGAAGCTTCGCTTCGCAAGCACTAGCGAGAACACGATAAAAGGAGCTCTATAAAATGCAATCATAAAAATTAGAAATAAGCCTCGAATTAGTAAAAATGCGGCAACATCTCGGCTTCGAACCTGCAACCTAGAGATTATAGGTCGCAAATACTAACCACGGACGCTTAATAGGTAAAAAAAAACATTAGCCACAAATCAAGCAGAGAACAGACGCTATTCAATTTCCAATGCTGCAGTGAAATTTCCAAATAGGTGAACACGTTTAATGAATTTGCAGGTTAGGTTAAAAGAAGGTTCGTAATAATACACTACGCTGATTGGTAGTGTAACAACAGACTTTCTGGAACGCAGAATTTTTTTTGTTATATCGCTATGATAATTGTGCAAACTATGAATTCACTTCTTTCAGGGATATGTGGAGTTGAGCACAAGAATACGTTTCCAAGTTTGAGACTCGTTTCCATTTTTGCGTATTGTTTGTTAAATTGCTATGGAGACGCAGTTGAACGAAAAAGACTAAAGACATTTTCAATTCAAAGAAAAATTTTGTACATTTTGAGAAACATTAGCTAGAAACTTAATTTAGCATACAAATTTGATTTATATTCATCCGTGGTTTCTGTTGTTGCAGTTTTTGCTTAACTTTCTTTTCAGATATCTTGGTCACCCATAATTAAATCTACAACTGCTTTTGTTAACGTCTCTTGCAGCTGCTGCAGATCTATTGACTGGTTCTGTGACCTTCTTGCAATTTTTGCCTCTAATAAATTGCTCAGCTCCTGACTCAGTCCAATTATAGTGTCTGCCAGTTGTGGGTCGCATCTGAAGGATATGTCTTTGTCAATCACTATCAATGGTGCTCCGTTATCGTCATGGCCTAAACAAGAAACAAAACATAGCCAACAGATGATCAACTCAAGAAAAGTGTCGATCAAATTGAACAAAAAAATGACTTATTCTTCGAAATTCGAAGAAAAAATAAATCACGTTGAAGCTCAGTAAATCACAAAAATATTCTATGATCAACATTTTACTCGTGGAAATAGCCCAATTAGAGAGAACTGGATCAATCGGTAAATTTTCCTGAAAAAAAACGAAAAAAATTAAGTCGACCTATATAAGTGTCTTCACTGCGTTCATTGACACTTATAAACAATGTCATCGAAAGTTGGAAAAGCGATACTTTTCAGTTACTCAATTTTTGGAAAACTTTCTTTCTACGAAATAATTATAAGTACGAAGCAATGCAAGCATCTAGTAGAAAAGTCAGAAAAACCTGCGTGCCGAAAATGTTCATCACACAATTACTTACTTTTCTTGACATCAGATCCGAACAACATCAATGCATAAGGATGTGCAGGAGAGACATCGTACAAATTAACCCCACCTAGACTTTTGACTCGCATGTAGTTGACCATGTAGTTGTAGGAAACTCTCGGAATATCAGCAGCTACAGACTTCATGTGAATGTCAACTTTTCCGTAATTCGAAAAAAGAGGTCTGAACCGAGATCTTTTCCCAAAATTATCCACTTTGATGATACTCGGGTAAAATCCAGCAACAACCATTGCTTTTAAAACCATGTCGCATTGCGAATACTTATTGTACTTCTGATTTCTATAGTCTGTTCCGTGAATAAAGCCCTCTTTTTGCAAATATTCGGCGAATTGTTTCTTCATGTCGAGTATAAACTTCAGGGTTGATTTCGACAGAAAACTATCCCAACAAAATGCATCCAATTGTCGGCCTCGACCATCTCTTAGCATTTTTTCATAATTATACAGAGCGTTTGCATAGACCAACGGGTCGCTCAACTCGGCTGAAAAAGACTGTTTGGCTTGCTTCACTTGACGTTCTTTGTCCAATGGCACCACAAATGGATCTTTATGAGAAAAGCAAGCTGCGATTGTTAGAACAGGATCGAGACACGAGAAAATACTTCCGTACAGAATGAACTTCCCAATTCTTGGCTCGACTGGCAACATTGCGAGATGGTGGCCTAGTGGTGTCAGTTTTATGTCAAAGGTGATCGCATTCATCTGCTGCAGTTCTCTGATTGACTGATCAACGCACTCTTTCGTCGGCTGGCTGAGGCAGTCGGAAAAGAATTGAGGAATGTTTCCCACGTCGATCTTGATCAGTTCTAGAATTATGCTTTCCAGTGACATTCTCAGAAGTTCTGGAATCTGAAACAAACTACATCAAAGGAACGCGTCATTTAAACAATATGACAAATTATACAAATATATTAACATTACCTTCAATGGAGTTGATATCTTCAATCGGGCATGCAAACTTTTTAATAAAAACTATTATTATGATCGCCGAAAATTGACTAAATACAAAAAAACCACACCGAGCATAAATATTCTGTTTTTTTTTTTGAAAGTCGGAACAACAAGAACACCCTGACCATCCCAATATAACCAAAATCAATAAGAAAATCAACAAATTATACAGGACAATAGACGTTCTAGATAATGTTTTCCTGGATAAATGCCACCACTGTACAATTAAGCGGACTATTCTCAAACATAAACTCACTATCAGGGCACAATCCACCCAGGGCTTAGAAGAAACCATGCTCTTTAAAAACGGCTCAACCATCTACGATGCCAAATTGTGCGCCATTCACTTCAACTAACAATATACACCCCCATGGGTTAAACCAGGCAAAAACAACAAACTGTTATGCTTACAATAAGGAACAATTTAACTAACTTAAAAAATTATAAGCAAAGACAATAAAAAGAACAAGGCCTTGACCCCAGACCTGATTGCACACCTGTATTTTTTTTGTTTCGGTAGGCAAATTTGTACACATGTTCACAACTCACTAAACAACTGGCCAAAAAACCACATGACGGGAAGACCGGTAGAATTATTCCACTTCAAAAAGGGGGCTCTATTCACTTGTATATGAGTTAAATGCCAGAACGGAGCAACGAACTAAACAAAATCACTTATGCTGATGACAAAGGCTGACGCAATTTGCACAAAAACGTCTCAGTTAAACATTTTGAACATGCAGGGGTGGATTTAGGTGGTGGGGGGACGCCCCCCCCCCCTCAGGGATTCGATCTCCTGCCGACCTTTAGCGCCAATATATCCTAATTTTGAGGGGGGTCAAAATTTTCAAAAAAGCCTAATAACGCCTTTTTTGGCCTGTTGTTTTTCCTTGCTTTGGGAGAGATTGAAAAATCCATTTGGTCGAGCTAAAAAAAAGGTCGTCAAATTTTTTTGAAAATTCGCCCCCTCCACGAAAAAATCCTAGATCCACCCCTGGACACATGGATGGATGAGCTACAACCGTGGCTCATAGATAACACACTCTTATCTATCAATCAATGCAGTAATAACTACACAAAAGAGCTATGCATTTAGGGTAAAAAGATCAATGCAGTAAAATTGTTAGCAAAAAAATGGCCATATTTCTAATATGGTCTGTTGAATTTCACTTCTAAAAAAATATATATTGGGAGTTATCACCATGCTTAACTTCGGAGCTCACATTAGTAGCATAACTGCTCAAGGGCTCAATTGATGAGCAGTGTGCCCAAAAAATATGCTAGAACCCAATGGATTGTATCACTAACAAAAAAGACCTACAAATTATCACCATTCTGTGCGAAAGACAGCATAAAAGACCAGAACAAAAGACAAGTCCTACCAGCGTCAGAGCCCTCTCGAAATACTCTCTAACCAGTTCCTCGTAGGCAGCTACTTACATAACGCACCGACCATGAAAATAGACAGAAAAGGTTCGATCGTGATGCTAGGTGTTTATTTGCTCAGCTCCCATATGTGTACTCGGTATCGGTAAGATATCTGTGGTATCTGCACCCAAGTCCCACATGATCTGCAATACTTGAGTAATAGTCCAGTCAAGACCGACATACCTCGACATGGTCAGTCACTCCACTGATCCCCTTTGTGAGGTTGAACTCCTCCAGCTCAGATAGCACGGTAAATGCGGGAAAGTTGAACCCTTTAAAGCATCAAACAGCTTGACAGAGGATGCCGGCCTCACAGCAGCACATTACACCAAGAGAACCAATCAAAGGAAGACAGTGTCAAAACAAAGTTCAAGTAGCCCACACCGACTAACCCAACAGAATAACCTCAACTTCATCGGAGATAAAAGCTAAAAAAAACAGGCTGTCGTAGAAGGAGACAAGTCCACTATAACACAGAGGCAAAGCGGAGCTTCGCACCACTTGCGATACAACACAAACATGAAAAAACATACGTTGAAAAAAAATGAAAAATGTTGAGAAAAAACTAAGTGAACCAAAATTTTCGTATAACTCGAAGGACACCTAGGACAAAGCTTGAGCTGGAAGCACGTCTTTGATTATTTTTGAATTTGTTATACTGATGCGGGACGAAGCGCGTAATTTCAAACACTGGACTTTGCCCAAAACCTTTGTTGTTCCTCTGCTAAAATTAGTGAGAAAAAAGAAAATATTTGAGTTTTTGGAATATTCCCAAAGTCATAACATTTCTTTTACAAAAAAAAATATAACCGCTTCTGCAGGAAAAAATGCGCGCAGCTGCTTATTTCTATTCAATTTTTAATCTCAGACATGATAGCTTGGTTTTTAAGAAAATTCAAAAAATTTCTAAAAAACGGACTAAGTTCAAAAACTTGACTTTCCTAAATCCGTTACTTTTTCTGCGAAAAGCAGATCGTGGCCGGTAAAGTAGAGACGATTCCCAAAATCGGGTTCCTCGATTGAACATTTAACCTGAGAATTGGCACGGTAATGTTCGAGTAAAGTCACAAAACTTCCAAAAAACGGTCACAGTTTCAGAACTTGTTTGAAGGCCATGATTTTTTCAAAACAAACTGGGGGAAGTAAGCTTCCAACAACCTGTTGTGTCGATTATGATATGACCTATGATTTCAAATTTGACAGGCTAGTTATCGAGAAGAGTCCAGAAAAAAATGTTAACAAATCAGATAGTTGACATTTCCGAGAACCACAGGTTTTTGCTTCTCACTACCCGTTATATCCATTGAACCCACAACATCTGGTTTGGGAGGTTATTTTCGAGAAAGATCAAGAAAACTTAAAAAACGGTCAAAAATATCAAAAGTTTCACTATTCCGAGGGCCATAATTTTATGTTTAAAAAAGTTTGGGAGTAGACGCTAATGGAGGGAAGCTTTCCAAATCCCCTCTATTCATTGAAACACCAAAATCTTAGATTTAGTGGGTTAAATTTTGAGAAAACGAAAAAAAATCAAAAAGATCGGTCAAATATTTCCCCTACAGACTTTTTCGAAGTATTAGACAAATTGGTAATGCAAAAAGAGACCACGGGACTGTGCAGGCACTCAAGGTTGTAAGCGTATTTTCTAGGGGAAACACCTTTTTAAACATTGGTCGGAGAGTTTGTACGAAAAACGAAACTAAAATTTATGCGAAGTTATAAAATTTTCAAAAGCGTAAATATAAATATAAAACAACCAAATCCCATACATTTTAATAAAACCTGTTGTTTTAAACATGGCATTTGAAATTCAAATCAGCAACTGGACAAAGTTACGAAGCGGAAAAAAGGCCGACAATCCTTGAGCAGACACCAGTCTCACTGAAATTACTGTAGTAACTTGTACCCACCCAGTAGTTAACATTGAATTTTCATAAAATTGAGCATGTCAGCATTGATATCAGCAAACCACATGCAACCACATCACGCACAAGCAACACGACGCCAAACCTAGAAGTCTTAGCGGAAGAACATGCACACACACACACACACACACACACGCACACACACACACACACACACACACACACACACACACACAACGGCAGACGTCAAAATTATCTGCCTGTCCAATTGAAAAGCTGACCTGATATTTAAGAAGGAAATTCTCCCTGGCTTGCATGTAGAGGTGAAAGCAATAGCCCTTCTGTACTCTTCCCGCTCTCCCTCTTCTCTGCTTAGCCGACGCAAGACTCACCCACTCGGGCTGCAAAGTCTTCACGTTCTTCTTAACATCATAGTTAGCCTCTTTTGTCTTTCCACAGTCGATAACAAACACTACATCGTCAATAGTTATACTAGTCTCTGCAATCGCAGTTGAAACGATCACTTTTCTTACACCAGGCGGCGGTCGGTTGAAAATTGCTCCTTGTTCCGCTGTGGGCATTAGAGAATGCAGAGGAAGTACTAAGTTATGATCAGAAAAACCATTTTGAGCCAGAAGGTCAACAACTTTTCTGATCTGCTCCCAGCCTGAAACCAGATTCATAAATCAAGACAAGAAACAGAACAAGTATCTCTGAAACCCTCTAATTGCTTTAGATTAGATTTATCTTGAAATTAACTCGGTGCTTGGTACTGAATATAACTGGATCTTTAGGAAGTCGGAAAAAAAAATTGGTGTTCAATCTCATTCCGTGTTCGAGTAAATAAAAAGAAGCATATCGAAAAGTCCATTAACTGTAATTACCTGGAACAAACACCAGAATGGCTCCCTCTCCTTGAGTCCTACAGATGAAAGATATCAGATGACAGATCATCTCTTCGTCAAAAGCCTCTTGATCCATCGTCATTAGAGCATGTCTTGTCCCCTGGTTGTATTTGGATCCCAAATTCCGTACTGCCACATTCAGGGCATCGCGAATTTCCTGCTCACCTGGATCTGGACGTTTTCTGCGCCATTGGCTCTGATTGTTGTTCGGTTCATAACCTAGAATGTATAATACCACATTTCAAGAAATGTCAGACTAGAAACTGTCAGACCCGATAATACTTGAGATAACTAAAACTACTGCCTCACACTTAACATGATGGATCATTATAATAAAACAAATGGACTTAATAACAAGGATAGCCAGTTTCTGTGCAAAGTGCACAAAAAGTTCCTACTACAAAAAAAAACTAAAAAAGAAAGTTCTTTCTTTTTCAAAGTGCAGAGTTTTTTTGTTCGAGGTCTGATAAAAGGATATGAACCAAGGTTTAAACCTTCTATAGTAATAGTACCTTAAGTACGTTTGAACAACCTTTTTCCCACAAAATAAATAGTACACAGAGGCGAAGCACCACTCGCGATACAAAACGCGAAAGCCGCTAAGTCGAAATGAAATCGAAAAAAAGTCGAAAATGTCAAAAAAAACAAGAATAAGGCTAGTCTCAAAACAAAAACATGCCACGACAGCAGAATGTGAAATTAGCTTCGGAAGAAAATTTACCAAGCGGTACAAAGCCGAACATACCTTAGCAAAAACCGTTTCGCCAAAAAAATTTGAAGACTTAAGACCTATAAAAAGTTATTAAGTCCCCTAGCCCTCAAAATACATACTCAAAAACTTTTGTCACTCGTCGAATGACGCAATGTGAGGCCACTAATCTGATATAAAATAGTCCGAAACCTATCAAACCTAAAAAACAAAACGAAAAATGCAAAAAAAAAATAACAAATTGAGTTGGGAAAAATAAAACCAACATAAAAAGCAATCTTCGAATAGGACATATTTAAAATGCTTATATGCAGAAAATGCCGCAAATTTGTTGCTAAATAGATTTCCAAGAAATAGGTGCAGATGAGTCATGAACAAAGTTATTTACGGAAAAGATTCTAGTACTTAATTGCAATACCCTTGCTTATCGCAAGGGTAAACAAAATAATTTATAAAAATTTTTCGAACTTTTTTTCAGTTTTATTCCCGTTCGAAAATTGGACTTGAAATCAATTATTTATTTATTTATTTAAATATTCATCATGAGTAATCAAATTATCATAACACAATATGCAAAATTTCAAAAATAACTCATGATAGGACAACCAGAAAGCCAACGAGAGGCTTGTTGAAGGTTGTCCCGTAAAGGAATCACATCATATGACATCAGATCAAAAGGTTCAATAATTAATTTAGGTCAAATTTAAAGCGAAAGAAAAAAAACAAGACTTAAATAGTGCAATCACTCTTTTTTCAAATTTAAGATCTTTATTCTTTAACAAGAGAACCAGAGATATGATGCAAGCTTATACTTAAAAGGGTATACAACTGACAGCGGGCGGATGCGAAATAATGACACTTAATTTAATCAGCGAGCAAGTGATCCCAGTTCTTAAGAGCTGGTAATCCAGTTGTTCGCTTTTTTCTAACTCCCCTTCCTAGTGTCCACTGCCTGGTACCTTCGACGAGAGGTTATCAGGTCTAAGAAATGTCTCCGAGGACTCCGGGAAGTTAGAATGGATTAGTTCAAGTCTAGCGATATAATTCATCAATCAAATGGCAACTTCCTATTATATATGAATCTAAGATTGAATGACAGAAACCATTTTTTGAATGATGCGTTTCAAAGGAGGAAGGTATAGTTACACACCAATTGGCTAATATATTGATTAATTTGGCAACACGATGGGAAACAGAGTTATATTTAAGATTACTTTTCATTGATGGTAAAAAAGAGCACCCTTTACCGATGACCTCGTTGAATAAAAAATAGGTTCACATTTCTGAGACAATTCTTCATTGACTATTTTCTTTAGAATTTCATATACATGTAACTCGTATACAGTAGCAATTTGCTAAAAGTTATACGAAAAAATCGTTTTTGTAGTTTATGAATAACATCTAATGCACTTTTGCAAACTACTCCATAAACAAGAACTCCATATTGAACACAAGGTTGTACCTAAGTTTTGTAGTACATGACCATTTGTGAAATGGTCATCACATTACGAAGCCAGTATGCAACTCCGCAGAAGCGGGTTAATTTTTTTCCTATAATCTCAATATGATCTTTGAAGGATAGTTTATTATCCAATTCCATGCATAGGTATTTGCAGCTAGCAACGGGCTGTAAACAAGTGTCTGCGAAATATATAGCATCAGCTTTGGATTTCGAAAAAATTAGTAGCTTAGACTTCGATCCTTCTAAGGTAAGTTTATTAAACTTCATCCAATTATCTATTCGATTTAGATCCTCTTGAAAGTCATCAAGGGAAGCGTTTTTGTTTTTAATAACAGATGTATCGTGAGCAAACAAAGTAAGTCGGCAATTTCTTACAATTCTGGGAAGGTCATTGATATAGATCAAAAAGAGCAACGGTCCTAAGACTGAACCCTGTGGCACCCCGCACAAAATATCTTTCAATTCGATTTTAAATTGATTTAGGACAAAATACTGTTTCCTATTAGAAAAGTAACTTCTTAGAACTTCCAGAGACTTTCCTCTTACTCCATACCGCTCTAATTTATCAATTAAGATCGCATGATTGACAGTGTCAAAAGCTTTTTTCAGATCTAATAAAACTAACATAACGTCTTTATTCTTCTGATCTCTCAGGTTACAAACCTCTTCTGTTAGATCTAGAAGCGCTTTAACTGTGCTTAATTTACTACGGAAGCCATATTGATTTGTACTGAGCAACTTGCAATTTTCCAAATAACTAGTTAATCTGAAATGCATTGTCTTCTCAAAGATTTTGACAGCGTTGATAACAAAGATATGGGTCGATAATTTCCATATTCGTCTTGCAATCCACCTTTATGAATCGGAAAAACTTTGGCAATTTTTAAGTATTTCGGATAGCACCCATTTGCGTAGCAGGTATTGAAAAAGTTCGTGAGCCACCATGGCGTGATTATTGGTTTACATAATTTGACTATTGCTGTATTGATGCAATCACAACCCGAGCTGAGTTTATTTGGTAATTCTGTTATTATTTGTTCTATTTCTGTTTCCTTTATATTCGGAAAGAATATTGAATAATCAACATTTTCTAATGAAATAGGATCTGCAACTCCAATTTTATCACTTCGATTTGGACCAATATTTACAAAAACATTGTTCATATCTTGAGCTTTTTTTTCATTTATATCATCTGGCAACGTTACATTTTTATGTTTTCCAAGATATGCTGCAACCGCTTTGTGATACTTATGAGAGTCTGTTGTATTTAGCTTAGATCTCCAGAAACTTCTGAATTATTTCCGATTCAGGGCATTAGATTTGTTTCGTAATGAGTTATATTTGATCTTGTTATCTTCTGTAGGGTTTTGTATATATGTCCTGTATGCGAATGCTTTTTTATTTGCTACTTTTTTCACTTCATTTGTCACCCAGGACTTATTTTTCGGCACATAACAAGTTTGAGAGGGAGCAAACCTATCAATGCAACTGAGAATTATTTCCGAGAAATTTTCAGCAGATTTATCCAAATCGGATAAGGTACCATCAAATTCCTTCAATTTGGACTGTAAGAGGAAAGCAAACATTAACCATGTATCATCATTTTCAAAAACTTTCATATTTCTAAAGCTAAATGTTTCTTTATATCTACTAACCAATTTTGGCATAGAGATAGAAACTTCAATCATGAAATGATCGGCTGGACCCCAGCGGTGTATGCAACTATTGTTAATTCCAATACTTCCCCAAATATGATCGATACAAGAGTTTGTTTTTGAAGTTACTCGTGTCGGTAACAGAGGTGACAACAAATGATAACCGAAAGAACTGAACATTTCAGTAAGATCATCTCTTGCTTTGTGTTTTTTCATCATATCAATATTGAAATCTCCCATAATCACATTGCTCTTTTTCGACTTGGCTTCGGTTAAGACCTTTTCTAGTTTGTGGACAATATCCTCGACCCTCATTGACGGTTGACGATATAAAACAGTTACAGTCGTTGCCGTTTTATCACCTACTACAACCTCTATTTTTAAAATTTCTCCTGCAGACACCTCCACTAACTGACTTGTATTAAGCTCTGTTCGTATATATAAACCTACTCCACGTCCTGTGCTCAGCCGAGGGCTCGAGAAAAACTTGTATCTTTGCAAATTGAACAACTCGGCTGAATCATTAGGGTTCAGCCAAGTTTCAGTGACAGCGATAACAGCTGGGGCTATTGCAAGTTGCTCAAGACTTACTTTAAAGGCTTCAAAATTAGATTTAAGTGATCGCACGTTAACATTTAGTAATGAAACAGCCTCAAGAACTTGGGTAAATGACGATGGGGACATAAAATGAAATAAAATAAAAATGAGATTGAATAAAAGTCCCTACTGAGGCTGTCTTGTCTTAAATACTTAACCACTGTCTTCTACAGTAAACACACTTGAAGTATTGCTAACATTAGAATGAAGCTCAGTTTGAGGAGATTGTTTTGCTAAGTTATCAACATACTGCACAATTTTTTCAGGTTCATTTCTGAGCTTTTTAACATAATCAAGGATTTGTGTTGACATTTAGCCTCATCGTTGCATCTTGATTTCCTAATTGAAAAATTGATTTTCTCTTCTTTGCCAAAATTTGCGCTTTTCCAGAAGCAACCAACGTTTCCGCATGAACCGAGTCTGCAACATTATGAGTGAACACCTTCCCGTTCTTGATAAAGACTTGCGGTGCGCAATTGTTTGTTGTTGTTTTCAAATTAAGGCCTTTCATAAAGTCGAGTAAATCCGAATCTCTCTTTGTCAGTCTCTCAAAAAGGTATACAGGTTTTTTATTGATCTGATTGAGATACTGTCGTAAAAAAAGCTTCCTTGCCCAGATACGGTCTTTCACATCAAAATAGACAAATTTCACAATAATGGCTGGGGGGTTTTGATGTCGCGAATTGGGCCTAGAGGGTGACACGCTACCATGGAATCACGAGGCACATAGATGTCAATTGCTTCACGAAAGAATGCGATTGCATCTTTTACATAATCAGAGCCATGTCGCAGAGGTAAATTGTTTATAATGATACAATTTTTTGAGTTTCAGCGCTCCAGATCATTTACTTTTTCTTCAGAAAAATTAGTTCATTTTTCATGTTTGCAATGGTGCCGCTTTGAGTTTCAACATGGGATAAAAGATCTTGCAGAATTGATTTCAAAGATGGATCAATATCATTCGACAGTTGGTTGATATTTTCTTTGATAATGTTCAACATCATGACAGCTCCCAGTAAGGTGTAAGAGTTATCTCAGTGTACAGTCCAAATCTGAAACTATTTAATAAGTTTCTCACAACAATTAGGCTAAATCAGAAACTTCAAACCGGCTTTTCTCGACCAGAAAACTTTTTGGAAATTTTTTTGTTCGAATCGCGACTTCAAATTGATATATCAATCGACCAATTTCGATTATTCTTTAAGGTACCTGACTTTGCATGGAAAAAACTAAGACACACAAAGACAAAGTTCCTATCCACTTTCAGTGGTCGGAATAAAAACTTTAGCTTACCGCTCAATTGCAGGACATCTTCTAGGAAGAATTCAGTTACTGGAAATGTGAATCCAGGGATGTTCAAGGTACAGCAGTCGCCGAAATAGCTACTGATTTCCTCCGCATTCAGAGTGGCACTCATCAGAAGTATCTTCAAATCTGGACGTCTATTGGTTGCAAGAAGTCGTTTCAGAAGAACCAGAAGCACATCAGAGTGTGCCGATCTTTCGTGAACTTCATCCAAAACTATATGAGAGGCCCGGACCAAGTCAGGGTCAAAATGGATCCACCGAAGCAGCATTCCAGTAGTACAATAGACAATTGAACCTAAAATTTATACTACAACTACTAACGGTGTTTTTCTTCACCATTTACTCGTTTTAACTGCAATATGTATTCCATAAACATAAAATTACCTCACCTTCGTCTCGTGGAAGTTTGTGCTCAACCCTGATCGAGTAGCCCGTACTTCTTCCGAGTGGCTCACTGCGCTCTTCCGCAACACGTTGAGCTATGCTGATTGCACTTATTCTTCTAGGCTGAGTACATATGATACGACACTGGCTGCCTGTTCCTTTACGAATTTTATAGTCCAGAACAAGCTGTGGAACTTGGGTAGTCTTACCACATCCCGTTTCACCAGAGATCACGCAAACTTGATTTTCGTCAATTGCTTTAAGAATATCATTTCTCATTTTGAAAGCAGGGAGATTCTGGCGAGACTCTAGCATTTTCTGATATTTTATATCACTTTCTTGCTTCGCTAATAGCTCTAATTTGAGGGCTTCGTTTATTTGTTCATCATTTACTCGATTTTCGAACGGTAACCTCTCGACTTCAAAAGATGATGCTGATGAACGGCTACTACCAGCTCCCAAACTAGTTGAAGCATTCGATTTATCTGATCTCAGAGCTTGCACTTCAGAAAGAGTTACATCAATTTTTGCTCTCTGATTATGACTCATCAGAACATGGGCTCTGTTTTCATTTTCTTTCTTTTTTCTTGTATGCTTAGATCTATTGGCGTAAAACATTCCGATGTCACGCCCGCGTAAATTACCATGAGGCGGAGGCATGTTTCTTCTTGATATAAGCCGAAATGCTGAGAAAGCAATCGCAGTGTTATTATCCCTGCAGCAGCCAAGTTTAAATTAAATTCATACGCTCGAGCATATATTCCTGGAATGCAATAACACAATGAAACAAGGATAGCCGGTTACTGTGCAAGTAGCACAGAATATTCCAACCATAGTCTATGAAAAACTACAAGCAAAGTCTTTTTTTTTTCAGATTAGTTTTTTCTGCGCGGGGTGATAAACAAAGTCGGATGTAAAACTATATTTTAGGCATATTTGACATTCATAGTAAAAATTCCAATTCATAGTAATAAAGGCCAATATGACGCAATTTTTTTTTATAGAAAATTGACAAGATAAACAAAACAATCTTTTTTTTCAATTTTTTTTGCAGAAACTCCTATCTTTTGAACTTTTTGGTTCCCAAAAAGGAGCTACAAAACTCTAAATAAATAAGTCAGAATTTTATCAGTAAAATACAACTAACTAATTTTACTTGCTTATATTTAAATTTTAAGGGCTTAAATTTCTTATAATTAAGCTGTTGTATGCCTGATCGCTTGCTTTATTCGCTCGAAATTAGATGAAAAATAAAAAAATTCAAAACCGGTTTTTCTCAACACTAGAAAAAAATTGGGAACTTTTTCATGTTGTTCGTTCGAATCACTACTGAAAAGCTTGAATACAAAATTCCCGTACACACCCGAATACATTTCGATAGTCGCAACAATGATATCGAACTTTTCACTACTACTACTACTACTAAAAGAATTTATTCCCTTTAAAATATAAAGGCATCAAACAAAAGAAATGGTATGATTATGTACACAAGACATCACGAACGGCAATTTATGCAATGGCAACAAAGTAGCATTGAACAAGAGTTGTTTAAGTTGAACATATCAATTCTATTTTTCAGATAGATTTTCAATTTTGCTTTGAAAATTTCAGGCGATGAGAAAATGTCGGCTATGTTGTTTGCTGAAATCATGTTGGCATACCGACAGACGCGATAGAAGAAAAATTGCTCTGTGAAGAAGAGTCGACAATTCTGGGTTGTTGAAAGCTTAGGGCGTGAGCTATTGCGAAGGTCTTTGGCTGCAAAGGTAAAATTTATGTATCTGTAAAGGTTGAAATCAAACTGATCAGTCAGGACTCGATTAAGAAAACACATATCATGTAAAGCTATAGTGAAGGAAATTGGCAAGGAATTCGTTTTTCTAAGTTGTTCTGTATAGTCGTTGACTCCCGTTACCCATTTCAAACATTTTCTGTTAAATAGTTCTAGTTTGCGGCGATATGTTAAAGATGGAAACCAGACCTGACTACCGTATAATAAAATACTCACAATACATAGCTGGTAATATTTGAATTTGGTTCTCATGGATACTCCATAAGGGATTGAACGTTTCAAGAAATGGAAAGCTTTGTTAACTGCAACCAGTTTGGTTTTAATGTGGATGTCCCACTTTAAATCACTAGATATCGTTACTCCGAGATCTTTGATAGATGAAACTGACGGAATTGGGTAATCATTAAGGCAAAGTGTAGATTTGGGGGAAGTTGAGTTAAAACAAATAACTTTGCATTTATCAGAATTAAATGTCATTTCGTTTTCAAGCGTCCAATTGATAAATAGATCAATGTCTATTTGAACTAAGGAAAGGTCATATTTTGAATAGAGTTTGCTGTCATCAGCAAACAGAAAACATTTAGAGGTTTTCAAGACAGCTGGCATGTCATTAATGAAGAGTATAAATAGTAAAGGGCCGAGTACACTTCCTTGCGGAACACCACTTGTTACATGGCCTTTTGGAGATGCTTCATTGTTAATTAAGACATTTTGCGTGCGGTTTGTGAGATAGGAAGCAAAAAGTTCAAGAAAGCTAACGTCAAAGCCTAAATTACCAAGTTTCAAAATAAGTATATGATGAGGAACTTGATCAAAAGCCTTGCGAAAATCGAAGTACACAGAAAGACATTCGCTTTTTGCCTCGACGTCGTTATAAATCTGATCTAGGTATTCAAGAAGCTGAGTAACAGTCGATCGCTTGGTCATAAAACCATGTTGAGCAGGTGTAACTTTAGCCCGAATTTTAGGATAAATGAAATCGAAGATCATTCTCTCCAGAACAATCGATAATTGAGGCAATATGCTAATCGGGCGATAATTTTCAACATTTTCGGGATTACTAGATTTAAGAACTGGCGTAATAAACGCACATTTCCAAAGTTCTGGCCACGTTTTAGTTTCCAAAACCTTGACAAAGAGCTGCACGACTAGAGGAGATATTAATTCACTGCAGTAGTTAAGAATAAAGGTTGGGAGGCGGTCGTTGGTAATACAAGAAGTTTTAGCAAATTTGAGAGCTTTCTCGACCTTTTTAAGGTTGACATGGAGATCGGATAGAAAAATGGTGGGTTTTTCGGGTTGTAAGATTTGAATTTCATGCTTTTCTAGAAACACTGAACAGAAGTAATCGTTCAAAAGAATGGCTATTTCAATAGAAGTGGATGCTTTTCTATTCATCCAGTGCATTTGGTTTGGTAGTTTCCTTCTGGTAAAAGATCGAAGGTATTTAAAGCAATCACGGGTAGAATTTGGTCTTAAAGATTCAAGGAGACAAGTTTTATCCAATTCGATTGAATTGTTAAGGTCTTGTTGGATCGAAGCTAAATGATTTGTGTTGGCTGTCCGTTTAGATATGGAATGATGCTTATTCAGTAAATGAACTGTATGCGACGAATAATAATAGGGAAGTTGCTGGCGTCTTTTAGTTTTCTGAGCGCATGATGAAAGAATTGCATGATTGATCTGAGCGTACCAGCTATCTACATAATCATTAGTGGTGGATATGGAATAACATGAGTTTTGTTCCACAATGAGTTTGGTAAAGCAAGGGCTGATGTTAGTATTGAAGATCGAATGAGAAAAAGATGATTTAGATAGAGAGGTTTTCATAAAATTCCCACTCACAGTAGGCGCTGCTTCAGGAATGGTAAAAAAAGCAAATAAAGGAAAATGGTCTGAGTAAAGCACTTCATTTACAAATGCAGTGAACAATTCTGTGTGCGAAGTTAAAATGATATCAAGAGTGTTGCCTGAGCGATGTGTGGGTTCATATATAAGGGGCATTAAGCTATGATCCTCAATAACCTCTAGGAACAGTTTCGAGTAATCACAGCCACCATCAGAAGATGCCCAACAGATATCCGGCAGATTTAGGTCACCTAAGATTGTGTACGAACTAGAACCATTAATCAATTTGGAGTTAAAATAACGTATTGAATCAGTAAGCATTTTGGCAGGTATCCGAAACTGCGACGAAGCGGGGGGTTGTAAATAAGGAGGAAAATATGATTAACTGCACCCGAATATATTGAAAGTCCGATGCAGTAATCTGCATCGTATGATAGAGTTGAATAATTTAGAGCAAAACTCCTTTTTGTAGCAATGAGAACACCTCCGTGTTCTCCAGAAGTGCGGTCTTTTCGAGCAATAACCGAATAGGGAGAATTCATAGGAAAAATTTCGGGATCAGTAACTTCTGGTTTAAGCCATGTTTCAGTAATGAACACGATATCAGGAGAATGTAAAGAAAGAAAATTGATTAACTTCAGACGCTGATTTATGCTCAAGAGACTTTGTGCGTTGATAAGGCATAACTTTGATTGTAGTCAGTCAAGATTGATCTTGATACCATTTCGTTCGAGGGTCAGACCACGAATTTTTAGCTCATCGCGTGGAACTTTTTCATTGTTAATCATGTCGTACCGTTTCTTGAAGATTTTACGTTTCAGAATCTGTTCTTCTTGGTTCAGGGACTTCGATATGAAAATCTTTTCTTTGAAATTCTTCAGTTTGTAAGATTTTGCCAGGCATTTTCTAGCATTCCATTCGGATGACAGACGAACAAGTAAAGGACGCGGTCTTCGTTGTTGGGGATTAGCTTTACCAAGTCTATACATTTGGCAGATACTGAGATTTTCTTCGCCTATATGATCAAAAATTTCGGCCACTTTGGCTTCTTCGGCCTCTATATTGGATGTAAACTGTCCGTTGTCTTCGCAGACCCCGTCGATGATTATCTCGTTTTCACATGTGTTGGCCCGGTGACTGTTATTAATACGACTATTAACCGGTACATTCGATGATGTTGTCTTGGTTGGATCAACATTTTCAACAGTTTCTTTAATGCTTTTTGTAATTTCGATTAAGCTTTCTTGTCTTTGAATAATCAGTTCAAACTTAGCTTGGGATGTGAAGATGTTCCCCTCAAGGCAGCCAGAGCACAGCCAGAAGCATGCTCGAATTTTGCCCATTGTAGCTACATCATCAGGAGACAATCCAACACATTGCCCATGGAACCACGCGCTGCACTTTTCACATCCTATAGCAGTTGAGTCGTTGTCCTTCACTGTTTTGTTGCATGGTCCACAACTAGTAGCTTTTGCTTGAGACATATCAAACCGGAAACTATTTAATAAGTTTATCACAACAATTTCAGTTTTAGAGAAAACTAGCATGATCCATCGTGTATTCAAAAATTAGTGTCTTTCTCTTTCTTTAGGCAGCCTTTCTCCTATTATTTCCGTACTTCACGTTTCGCAATAAACATTCTATTTCCTGAGGGTCAACGAGGAAACAGTTCTTTTTCTAGCAAAACAATTTTCCTAGTTTAGAGAACTCGTGAAACACATTTTGCATCCCAAAATAGTTTGTAAAAAACAGAAAGTTCCACTTCAAGATGCATCTTGTCTTAGAATCCTAGTGGACAGAGTCGCACAATTAAAAAGCCGCTCGCATCTGTAAGACGTTGATTTGAATACAATTATTCATAAAAACGAATCACGAACGAGACAAGCAACACGTAGTGAGATTGCTGTTCAAGCAGCAAGACTGAAAAAGTCAAATGAAAATTTTTATGTACGTTCTAATACGCTATACAACTATTTTAGCCAAATTGTGGACTTCGAAAATCAAGATTATGAAAGCCTGAAAATATCTCTAACAAATACGTATTGGAAATTCTTCAACAGAAATTTTGCAGAAAACAACTTGTGTATGTTGAGAATTCTTTGCTGGTGTGGAAACTGCAACCCACCGGGAAAAATTACGAACTTATAAACGAGGGTTCAAAACCCATGGAGAAATCCTAAATCCTACCCTACTACTACTACTACTACGTTGTAAAATTCGCTTAAACCGTGTCACGAGGAGGGGAAAATTAATGCCTAAAGCCATTGGTTCAAAGCCAGGACATTAAGAACCGATCATATAAACGTCGTTACGCTCCTAGAAAATCAATTTGTGGTTCAGGGACATCAAACAAGGGAAACTTACCGTTTTCAGGCTACCATCAAAAATTCACCCACTCGTGTAATTTGTATGAATAACCCTAAATTATGGTCTAGAAAACAGTTACAGTTAAAACCCGGAGACGTTAATTCCGGTTTGGCGAGGTTATGTTTTAATCATCAGTATTCAGCTTGATCCATCCTGTATGGCTAGTATAATAATTATAATCAAACAGAATTTAGGGTAGCACCCAGGGGAGATATTCCCGAGTTCCAGTTTTCCAAAGTTCATATGAGTTTGTGTTGATTTCTGAAGGTCTGACAATTACATGTCAAGTCTCCAGGAGCATATATCTTCGAGATTATATTTATTGACAAAATAGTTTTTGTAAACTTTTGCGATTTTATTTTTGGATTTTCCAATTCGTCAAGATTAATCCCTATCTTTTGTGCAACTGTGTTTGCTAAGAATGGACCTCTTGTCCAAAAGTCAATTTCTTGTTTCTTCTTCAACAGAATTCGTGTTTTATAGAACTTCAATTTCTGTGCTCTCGTGTTTTGTTCTGATTTGTATTGTACTTGAACAAAAGATTCCAACTCAATATTTTACCTGCCTTTCACTATGTCGAAAAATGCAAAAGAACGGGCATTTCGTGATACAAGAGAAGTGGAAGAATCGAAAACCGTTTTAATCTATCTTTATTGTCTAATCTATTGGTCTAATCTATAGTCTAATCTATCCACTTCGAAGCATTTTCCTGAAGGTTTTCCATCATTCTCAATTCTGATTTATTTGGTTTCCAAATAATTACACCGTATCAAATGATTGGGACAATGTAGCTCCGGTAAATATTCTTTTTTGCAATCCAACTTGCACCATTAGCGATGTTTCGTTTTTTAGTAAAAAATACTTTGGTTGCTTTCTCACATCATCTTTCGGCGTTTGCAGTCCATGTCAAGTCGTTCGATACAATTAATCCCAAATCTTTTTCCTTCTGTGTTTGTTCAAGTGTCTTTCCATTCATTGAAACACATCCGCTTCCTTTTAAAATTAGCGTTTTACATTTGCTGATGTTTAATTATCAGCAAGGGCCCAACCATTTCCATATTCTGGTCGCGTAAATTTGTAGAGTGATCGTGTTGGTAGCAATAACTATATAATCATCCGCGTATCCGAAACAACTTGACATGGTACAGTCTGGGAGATCATTTATAAAGATTATGAAGAACAGAGGACCCAGTACTGAGCCTTGCGGAACTCCACTTTTGACTTCGAGTTCTGAAGAGGTCGAGTTTCCAAATTTTGCTCAGTGTTTTTGACCTTTCAGGTAGCTTTCAAGCAGCTCCAAAGCTCCTCCAGTGATGCCATTTTTTATGCAATTTTTCTTTTACTTTTTCATGATTGACCTTGTCGAACGCCTTTTTGAAGTCGAGGTATACAGCAGTCAGTGTTGGAGATTCGAAGTGGTCAAATATTTCACTGAGATATAAGATCATTTGAGTCTTTGTGGATTTACATTTGGTGAATCCATTTCGTTCTTTGCAGACATTAAGTCCAATGGCTACGTATAGTTTTTCGAAAAGTATTCTTTCAAGAACTTTTGAGAGGCACGCCAAGAGCGCAATGAGACAATAATTTGAAATGTCTTGTTTGTCTCCGTCGTTAAATATTGATATAAGGATACTCAATTTCCATAAGGAAGGGTAGACATGTTTATTACCAATTATGTTGAAGACGAGTGTCAGTGAAGGAGCCAAGTATTTAGCTAAACTTTTAAGAGGTAGATTTCCTAGACCGTCAGGACCTTTTGCTTTCCCAATACACAAGTTCCCAAGTGTAGTTTGCTCTTTCTCTCTTGTAAAGTGGAGTTTTTCTACTTTTAAAGATTTGGAGTTATCGGAGGTTCTTTGATAATCCGAATTAGTAAAGACTGATTGAAAGAACTCATTAAAGAGTTGGACTTTTTCTTAATCGGTGACAGCGATCTGATCATTTAAGTACATTTCTGAGGGAAGTTGAGATGATTTTTGAATGCTCTTAAAATACTTTTGTATTTGTGAAAATGTTCCATTTTCGAAAACTGAGTGTTCAAATTCTTTTTGATCTTCGTTCAAAAAGTCACTTATTCTTGTTTCAAGTGTTGCCAGCTTTAGGTAGTTATTCGGGGACGGTTTCTAATTCATCCATTTTCTCATTGTATTCCTCCTTTTTATTGCATTTGATGTTTCATTGCTGACCCAAGGAGGTAAACTCATTTGGTGTTTTGTCTTTTTGGGTATATGTTTTTCCAATATCTCATGTAGCCAATCATACAATAAATCAACTACAACATCGACATTGCTGAAGCAGTAAGGCAAGAAAGGATTTTGCACGATGTTTAATCTGATTTCATTGCAATTCGCTTTTTCGAACGAAAATATGCTAAAATCTTCTTTTTCAGGCAAGGTTTTCGTCACTTTGAACCAATCATTTAAACTTAGTTTGAGCTGGAATGGCTGATGATCGGATTTAAATGGTTTTTTAACGTAATTGTCTACACTTACGTTTAGTATTGAATCTGTATTGTTGACTAGAATGACATCAATATGCTTTTTAGCACCTGTGACCAATTGCTGATAATTGTGTTCAAACAAATCCTCTAGTACCAGTGCTTGGTCCAAATTTGAGGACTCCATATGATGCCAGTTTATGTTATCAAAATTGATGTTCCCCACAAGCATTGTAAGGTTGGTGATGTGATTACTACTCAGTTCGTCTAAGCATTCAATAAGCTGCAGTAGAAGACTGGGCGAATGCCTGTATGGACTGTTTTTAGGGGCACTGTAGATACAGCATAAGAGACATCTGCAGTCATTAAATTCAAGCTGAACAAGTACTGTATCAGTGAATTTTGTGACAAAAATTAATCGCCGGTGTTGAATACTATTGTGTACTGCAATAAGCACCCCACCATGCTTTGTTTGGCCATTAACCGTATTACGATCATTTCGATGTATGACGAAATTATTGAGAAAGAGAGCATTATCGGATACTTCTGGTACTAGCCAGGTTTCCGTCAAGCAGATAATTTTGTAGTGATTGCAATTTGTTATGACATTTGAAAAGTCCATGCGCTTAACAAAGTCTACAAGACTCCTTACATTGTACAAAAGTAGGTGGGTACTGTTTTCAAGAAGGTTTGCGGCAAGTCATGACGACGATTCCTCGTCTTTCCGTCTTTCTTATACAATTTCAGGTCGCGAATTTTGAGTTCCTTCCGTAATATTCCAGCTTTAATCATTTCTCGGCGTTTCTTAAGTATCAGACATTCTTGTTTTGCTTCTTCAGCGTTGAGTTCTTTACTTACAAATACTAATTTGTCGTACTCCTTAAGATTGCTGATGGACAGGAGAATCAGTCGTCCGTGGAATTTATTTGCAACTCTGAAAATTATTGTCCTTACTCTTCAATGAAATGAGCATGAATGAAAGAGATATCCGATTTAATGACGTTTTTATCAATCGAATGTGAGATCACTGAAATAAAACGTATCGGACCCTATCAAGAGATAGGGTCCGATACGTTTTATTTCAGTGATCTCACATTCGATTGATAAAAACGTCATCAAATCGGATACCTCTTTCATTTCATGCTCATTTCGCTCACGGGCAAGTTTTCTAGTGCTTTCAGGCACACCTCTTACTCACATGCCTTCGGGGGTTTCGGCTTTCACGGTTTTCTTTGGCGTTGAATGTTCTGCTCCTATATGAGTTTGTTTTGGAATTGGTTGCTTTACGAAGGATTCTTTTAACTCGGATTTTGCTTTTTTATTTTCTGTTACCTCTGTTTGAAGAGATTTCAGTTGTTTATCATCTTTGGGTTGTTGAATTTTTGCAGCTGATTCTATGATCCGATCTCGCTGTTTTCGCGCCACACAGTCATTGCACAGAAGAAGTGCATTCATTCCCGGCTCTTTTACGCCTAGGAGCGCTGCATCATTTAGTGCCGTACAGCCTTTTGTCAAATGAAAATTGACTTCACAACTGAAGCAGTGAAAATTAACCTCATCGGCAGATTTTCAAACTTACGGGTTTTACAGAACTTTTGGCCCTCTTTTGCTGCATCTGTTGCAGATTTTAGACTTGTTTTATGAGACATGGCTAAACACTTACTTTGGAAAAATCCGTAACTCTCTGACAAGAGCGGTCACTAGATTTTTTTTACCACAAACTCGTTAGATATCCTGTAACTCAAAATCTGTAACTCGCTGACAAAAGCGGTCACCAGAGTTTAAGCCACAAAATATTATTACTGCAAGAAAATCCTTTTTAGAATTGTATTACAAAATCCTTAACTCACTGAAAAGAGTGGTCACTAGAGTTTTTTCAACAAACTATTATTACAGATTTGAGTCTTTGAGTTTTGAATATTCGTCGTAAGTTGGTCGGTTTTTGCTTCGATTGCTTCAATTTCTTTCGGACTTTTCGCGCTTGTCCCGGGTTCAAATAAATACGAAAATTTTCAGGAATAGGAAACAATTCTTGATCGGCAAGTTTCTTTAGCTTGAAGTTTCTCCTTCGACGTGCAGAAAGTCGTGTTTTCTTCTTGCAGATTTTTTTTCGTATCCATCGTAACGCAGGACAACGTAGAAAGTTTTTAATTCTAATGCTGAGGGTTGATGCAATCGTTTGTATAGCTGCTGTAACTTTTCACTGATGTCACCTTTTCGTGAAGCAATATCCTTTACCACGTCTACCACAGGGAGTCCAGCGTTTTTTGAACCTCGATAGATGTTTGAGGTTTCAGCCTTTGGCAGTATATGATTAATCGAATACGAGATGAGACAGTCTTCAAAGAATCAGCCAACTCTGGTCCAGTTAGAGGTGAGTCAAACTTTCGATATTCTTGAGAATTAAGTGCTCTGAAGAGAGATTTCGCGCCAAGGATAATCATTATAGGGCCACCACGGCTGCCCTCATTTCATTCAATCTTAAAAGACACTATTTAATAAGTTAATCACAACAACATAGCCGAAAAAAAATGCAACATAGCCTGACTCAACATAGCCGAAAAAAAAATTGGGTTAACTCTTAACTCTCTTCTTTTATTCTTTAATCAGAAGGTCAAGAGCATCATAGTAACCGAGGTTACAGTCAGGAGTCCCTTCATCACGTATTCCAGTCAAAATCCTTGGAATTTTTTGGATATGGAAGTGATAATGATAAAAGAAGATGACAAGTGTTTAAGTGCTTTTCAATTAAAATCGATACGGGTTACGTTTCTTCAAAAAGAAAACGCAACTCGACACGAGAAAATATAATATATTCGATTGTAATTACTGGCGTATTTACAATCGAAGCGAAGAAAAATTAGTGGCATTGTCTACTGCAGGAGAACGGGCACACCAGATACTTTTGAGGATCTGCGGAAGACAGAGATAATCGCTATAAAAACAACTGGTAGCCTTATCTCAAGAAGAAAGAGACAGAATCGTGCGGTCCTCAGAGAATATCTTCAACTGCAACAGTCAAGTGAATGGGAGTTGAAGTCACTACGGGAGGTGCTGTCCCATCGAGACCACCTGCCGGGCATTTTCTCAAGGATACGGGCCCAGACCAGGAAACCATTGCAGGGACGACTAGGAAACCATCGCAAAGAACAGATGACCGCAATTTTGCTTTCACCACCACTCCTTAGATTGGTCCTAAAAAGAAAACTCACTTGGAAACTTGTATTAGATTATTTAAAACATTTTAATAAATTTAATAGCAGTTTCCTGAGAGTTAAATTTCTGAGAAAATGTCTCGATAACGACATTATACCAGATTTTTTACGGTTTCGCGTGCCTGAAAACGATGTTTTTTCGGATCAAGCGGTGCACAGCTTCCAACTGAGACTCTTGAGATCTGAGATAAGCCAGGCAAATGCGGATAGGGCCAAGGCATCGGGTAACCTAGTAAAAGCAAAAGGGGTAGTGAGAAGGGGTATAGATGATAAGTGGTGGCCTTCGGTAATATTCTATCTGAACCGGCAAGCAAGGTGTAGTGTCAATAACCTGATAAGCCGACACAAGAGAAAGCTTGAAAAACTTTCGTTAAGAACGGATCGACCATTAAAAAATTTGGATGAAAGGTCAGTTAGAATTTTATATGAAGTGATTTCGCCACTTTGGGTGCGGGAAGTCTTAAGTTTTGTACCAAAACATCAGGTACGAGACAAAATCAATGAAATTCATGTCCTTGCTGACATTGATAGTTTTTTGTCTGAACTGAAGTTAAATAGAATACCCGGAGAAAAATTGTTTGAGATTGAAGCAGCTGCAAAGACATATGCTAAGAATGTGAAACAGACCCCCTCTGACAATCTGACAGACAGCGTAAATCTGACAGACAGCGTGATTAAGAAAATTGAAAAAGACATAAGCAAAGAATTACTCGCCATGAAAAAGAAGGATGAGATTAGCGAAGCACTGTATACAAGGTTGAGATCAACGGGAGTGCAGCCATCTAGGCTGTATGGATTAGCAAAAGTACACAAACAAGGCACACCACTTCGTCCCGTCCTTTCTTTACCTGGTAGCTCATATGACCAACTAAATAAAACATTGGCAAAGTACTTTGATGAAATTGAGGGGGCAAACATAGAAACGAACACTCAAATGGCCAAGGAGAACTTGGAGAAAACTGAGTTGGACTCTGACGAGAGTATAATCTCCCTTGATGTAAAGAGTTTGTACGCTAATGTCCCGCTCAAGGAAGCGCTTGAAATAGCCCTGAGGAGATTATATGAGCAAGTCAACCCTCCGGAAACATTTCGCAAGACTATGAAAAAACTACTGAATTTGGCAGTGAGTAAGCTACAGTGTAAATGCAATGGTTTGTGGTATGTACAAAAAGACGGTATAGCAATGGGCGCCTCCCTTGCAGTAATATTGGCCAATTTGTGGCTCAAAGAATACGAACCTGCATTAAAGAAGAAGTACCAAAATTGACTGTGCTGAGTGAGGGTAACAAGGAAGTGTGCCCTAGATGTCAGAAACAGGTGACATATCAGACAAAAGGGGTAGAATGCGAAATTTGTTTGAATTGGTACCACTTAGGGTGTGGTAACATATCGGAATCCGAATACGCAGACATTGCTGAAACAGTATGGTATTGCATGACTTGCAAAAAACAACAGGAAGCAGATCGGACTGTGAATGGTGTAAAAGTTTTTCCAAGATATGTGGACGACACAGTTAGAACGGTCAAGGGCGATCCTGGGGTAGTTCTCGAGGCTGCCAATCAGTTTCATCCAAACTTGCAGTTCAACATAGACGAACTTGATAGTAACGGTAATTTGGCCTTTTTGGACTTAAATGTCAACGTGGATTCAGCAAAAAAGGTCACATGTGGTTGGTACCAAAAACGCACTGATACCGGCACCATTCTGAATTTCAGAGGCTAGGAAACTTTGCAGTACAAAAGAAACGTTATTGAGGGGACGGTTCATAAGGTTTTCAGAAGTACCTCAACATGGGAACATTTTGACCAGGCATTGGAAAAAAATCGGATGCAAGGGATTGAAAATCAATATCTGAAAAATTGGTCTGTCAGGGTAGTGTTTGAAACTCTTAACAAGATTATTGAGGGAAAGAAAAATTCAGAGGTGAAGGCATCAGAACCGAGAAATGATAAATGGTTGAAAGACTCGCCACCCCTTCTTACAATGCAATATCGAGGCAATCCATCTCAACTGTTAGCTGCAAAGGTTCGGCTAATATCCGGGGCACAAATAATTTTTACAACAAGAAAATTGAAAACATGTTTGTCATCCCTCAAAGCTTCCTTTGCTCGTGAACTGAGATCCAAAGTGGTGTACAAGCTTACATGTAGTGAATGTAATTCCACCTATGTCGGCATGTCGACCAGACAGTCCGACATTTAGCCACGAGGGTCGATGAACACCGCAAAGGGGACTCCCCAGTAAGGCGGTACTGCTGAGCTGAAGTCAGAGATTATAGACCAAACAGCTAAAACTCATAAGCAACTGACACTAGAGGCTTTGCATATTTGGAGGTGCAAAGCCTCTAGTGCAAATTCCACCTATGTCGGCATGTCGACCAGACAGTCCGACATTTAGCCACGAGGGTCGATGAACACCGCAAAGGGGACTCCCCAGTAAGGCGGTACTGCTGAGCTGAAGTCAGAGATTATAGACCAAACAGCTAACACTCATAAGCTACTGACACTAGAGGCTTTGCATATTTGGAGGTGCAAAGCCTCTAGTGCAAATTCCACCTATGTCGGCATGTCGACCAGACAGTCCGACATTTAGCCACGAGGGTCGATGAACACCGCAAAGGGGACTCCCCAGTAGGGCAACACTTGTTAGAATGTAATAAGGAGGTAGGCGGTACTGCTGAGCTGAAGTCAGAGATTATAGACCAAACAGCTAACACCCATAAGCTACTGCCACTAGAGGCTTTGCATATTTGGAGGGAGAGGCCGAAGATCAACACACGCGATGAATTCAGGAGCCAAGAATTAACACTAAAATTATAGTCTATATATAACATGGCTAATAGTTAAAAAACTGACATGTCAGAATCAAAAATATTCCCAAACCGAATTTTTATAACCATGATAGAACAAAAAACTAAAAAATCTCAGAAATTTACAGGAAAATGTTATTCATGATTACGTAGTTATATTTTGTAATTACAGTTGTTTAGATTTGATTGATGAAAAAGTTTTAGAGCCTTTCAGACATGTTTCTCATGTTTCAGATCTTTGGTTGTTTTGTAAATATTGTAAAAATTTTTATTCCTGATGATGCACAAAATAAGCGAAAACGTTTGAATTAACATTTTAGTTTTTTTTATAATATACAAGTGTTACAAATAAAAAATTTCGTCGAAATTTATTTTGTCATTTATTGTTCCGAGTACGCAAGCGGCGTTCGCAATCTGTTTGCCAGGGAGATTCTCTGTTTTAAAAAGCTGCCTGCTCTGGATCTGTGATGGGGCCGGTCGCGCCCTGAATCTCAAAAGCTAGCGGTTGAAAAAGATATCCATCATCTACAAGATCTTTATACTTGTCATTTTTTTTTGCTCTTCCACTTCAGCGGCAGCCGTACCAGGGTTACAATCAGACCCGGCATTAATCCTACAAGGAGCTAAGCAGTCTACTATCGTTACCTCCCACAAGAGCTGCCTACCGACAGCCCATGGAACGAGCGTCAAACCGTCTGGTCGCTTCTGGTCAAACCTGTAGAGGTGTCGTGGTTCTAAAACAGACGGAGTGTGAGTAGAAGATAAACTCTGCTTTATAAGGGCATTCAGGTTTGAATGCCTAGAGAATCTCCCTGCGCTTTTGAGGCAAGAAAGACCATGCCAACCATCCTGGGTAACGTCTTTTCCGCACACGCATTTATGCCGTTCGCATATTTTTGAGCCTAATCGAAGTACAATTGCAATTCTGAGTTGTTGGTTCGACAGTCAACCTTAAATTTTTGTACGGGATAAAGTTCAACCATTAGGCGCGAAATCTATCTTGGAACACGTTGAACCTTTTTACGTCCGTTGGTTCGAGTCGCAAAATCAAGTCTGCAATTTCGCTGTCAAAATCGGCTCGGTCAAACTTTTTTGGATTTCATTTTCCGGAGCCATTTCATTTTTTCCAAGTTCAAACCACTGTTTAAGCGCATCATCATAGGTTCCATCCACATGCTCCAAACCAAAGATTTTGCTCAAGGAATCTTTTGCTCCTACTGCTGAGGCTAAGAAAGCGGGTAAAACTAGTTGAGCGGAAGAAACGCCCAAGCCACGATTGGCTGCCCGGAAAACTTCTTGTAAAAACTGTTTATCATCCATTTTCACGTTAGTGACCGTGCATACCGAATTTCTTAGTAATTTGTCGTAGCGTTCCATAAAATCAATTTTCAAAAAACAAGGGCTCGTACGCAAAAAATATAGTAGTTTTGTAGCAATTTTTCAGGAGGTAAAAACCGTAATGGGCGTCTAGTTTGTCAATGACATCCGAGATTTTTTCAAGCTCCTTATTTTTTTCGTCGGGCAGTTTTTTTCGGGAAATTTCGCCGATTGGAGATCCTAAAATGAGGAGTTCTTCTTTTGTTTTTATGTTTGTTTTGGGGCATATTTTTCGAAATTGTCTTAAAATTGAATTATACTGTGTACTCGTAACCGGTCCCAAAAAACAAAGTTCGCACTTCTCGGTGTTCAGGCTCAGGCCGTAAGTTTGTTCCGATTTCAGAATGTTTTTAAGGTCCCGGAAAACTACCTTATAGTCGTCGGCTAAATTTCCATCATCTAAAAACCAGATGTTAAAATTCGACACCAACTGTTTGAATAGTGTGTGAATTGTTTCAGCAAAAACGGGTGGGGCTACAGGATCATCTTACTGAGTTCCGTCTTCTGACCTTATGACAGAGCTTCCGTAAAAAAGGTGACTCGGTTTACTATATGCGCAATGGGTGTAATTATACAATTCGGGGCGATTTGAATAAACATGATTCAGCATTGTTTCTCTATTAAGAGAGTTAAAAGCATTCTTAAAATCTAGTTTTAAAAGAACAGTGCATTTTGGATTGTTGTCGCGTTCAATTATGTTTCGAAACGAGTGTGCAGCTACTTCTGCTCCTCGTTTGTACAGCATCCTGCTTGTACCTTTCCGAAAAACTTTGTCGCTCGGAGAGGGCCTTGCTTCCAGCGCATTTAGACGCGATACGTCTCAGCGTGTTGCCTATGGCAATCGGTCTCAACCCTTCGTCTATCTATATGAGGGCGATAAGCTTTGCGCCAAAAAAGAAAGGTCTTAGGGGTTCGGGTATTTTGCCATCTCCAATGAGGTTTATCAGCATAGTAAGCGATTTAAAAAAAAATAAGTCCTTCACTGCCATTAGACTTACTAACAAGATCTTTAAGAATTTGAGGAACTGTTTTATCAGGACCTGCTGCTGATCCGATCGTAAAGGCCATTATCTCTCTGTAAGGTCGAAATCGGTTACGAAAAAACTGACGAAATTTTTCGGTTTTGGAGCTGCAAATTTGGCTCGCTGAGGGTGCTTAGACAACAACTTTTGATAGTTATCAGTTGAAAAAGGAGCAATTTTGTCATCCGGAAAAGCAAGCCTTATTCCTCTCTTTACATTTCCTTCATCGAGCCTACTACTTATTAGCTTTATTCTCTGCTCGAGGCCACTCAGAGGCGGGCTTGAAACTTGAGGATGGGGTTTTGGAAGTGACACGCCGTTTGCTCGAGTTTTTTTATTTATCAAAGAGCTCATGCTCGTGGTCTGTTTGCGTTCAATTCTTTTAGGTTGCTCCAAAAACAAATAAGAACGACGTTAAAAAAATTAATTAGCCATTAGATTACATCTTCTACATTGTAGACGATTTCATTTATTTTGTCCGACAGACTTTCCGCCGAGGGATTTCGCGAGTCTTTTGGTACTCTCTTGAGTACTCGGACATTTGAGATGGCTGTATTCACATAATTGTCTTGCGCTAAATCATTACCTATTGTTGCTTTATTAACAGATTTTACATCAACGCATAAAGGGCACTGACACCTTTGGGTTTTCTTAGAGTCGCTAAGAGACAAGTTTACACAACTGATATGATTCCAACTAGAACAACAATCAAATCTAATCCAATTTATCAGTCCTGAAGGTTTTGAGCAATCTTTGCTTGCACACTCTTTGTTGTTTTTCCTCATCTTGATGCAGCATAAAGGTTAAAAAAAGGATTTTGACTGGATTTTAGGGGACTGAACTAACCCATGATAAGCGGTTAGTGGGAATTTTATAAATCAGCAAATAAAAAAAATTAAAGACAAATAAATTAATTTAAATTTTAAAATCGAATTATAAAAATCAAAAACAAGGAACAATCTCACCCGAGCTCAGTAGGTCCGAGCTAAGAATAATTCGCCAGTAGGACAGCATGTAGTAGAAAGCTGTGGACAATTTAAGAGGTTTCAATGACGATTT